ATGAGATGTCTAAACGTCTGGGTGGTTGTGTTGTCGCAGGGGCAGGTAATATGAAATCTGTGTAGGTGTTGTTTGTGGTCGCCGTGGTAGGTAGCCGCTAAATCTGCGGCCTCCGAATCCTACTCACCCATTTTCACGCACTTTCCGATAAGCTACGTCACAAAAAAGGCCAAAACAGATAGCCATGACGTAGCATGACTAGCATGTAACAGATATGCTGGTAATGTCAAAGGAACCATTATTAAAACTTGGTGCCCATCACTCACACACCTATATAAACTTATCGACTTAACAGGACACACATTCGCACTCACACAATTACTCAGCTAGTGGTATATAATTTTAGCGGAAAAATCGTAGTATTCATATTCTTTATTGCTTATTAAGAACAATTACATTTAAAAATAAACTTATTAACATTTCACTTGTACCATTAGTGCTTTTTGTGCTTGTTTTTTTTTCGTATTTGTTTATTTAATTACACATGTATGCAAAAACCTCTTTAGTCGCTAACTAATGTTATTTATGCAATGAACATCCACGAGGCATTATTTAAAGACGAAGGAATGTATTCACATACTTGGCTTACATCCTTACCTTGAAGAAATTATTTAAAAAAAAATTGACTTAAAAGGTTTTCCAAATGACCGATTCAATTATTAAGTTAAATCAATCAAATTATTTTATTAAGTGAGCTAGTTTGAATTAATGTCACCATACTGTCAATCTTGACAGTAATGTTTTGTCAATGTATTGAAGATCTCTCACAGTCATCTGTCTCATTCAATTACTTTTCAAATAAAGAGACTTTTATTTAATTCGTTCGTTTTTTATTAATCTTCTTCTATTCAACCCTTGTCCTGACAATAACGTCCAAACATAAAAAAGACAAACAAAAATTTTCTCTATTGATTCCTAACTACGCATGACTGTGCCCTTACGATTCTCAGCTATTACCTCTATTCACTTAAGGTTTGCTGGAAGAAAACTCGCTGTTTTTGGGTTAAGCTCGCCTTTGTACATGACATTTCCTTGTAATTTATATAAGTATGTGTCTAGTGTGTACAATAAATAATAAATGAAAGTATCCAATACCTGTCAATAAAATCCTGCCTTTGCTCTTTGTACGAAGATATCAACGAAACCTATCTCTTTAGATAAACACACGCAAAAATTACGTTAATAACCACTTACCGTCCAAAGTTCGCTCAGAAGTATCAAAAATATATGTGTATTAATTATAAAGGTGATTTTAAACTTGTTAAACGAGTTCAACTGTGGCCTTGATTCAGGCGCGGTTCCTATTTATTGTTGTTTCTTTGACTGCACGGATGTCGTAGTGGTTTAAGCGGTCGCCACGCCGCTTCCTACTACGCCGAGTGTTGTGGGTTCAAACCCCACATAGGACGACACTTTGTGTGATCCACAAATTGTGTTTCTGAGTCTGGGTGTTCTTTGTGTCCGTTTCATGTATGTTTGTAAAGTCCCCCGCGACACAGGATATTTCCCTAATGCGGTAGTTGTCTTTTAAAAAAAAAAAAAAAAAAAGATATAATAATCATAATGACTGGACCGATCTCACACACGGCCCGTGTGATTTAGACAGAACATATACTGGTAACCAGACTGCTGCTAAACATAGTTATGTATTTCTAAATATAGTTTTAACTATAGTTAAACGACACCCAGACACAGAAGTCCTAGAACCAACACACACACACAGAAGAAGATAGGTATATTAATTATGTCCTTATTTAAAACTGAGACTATTATTTCCGGGCCGATATGACCTTCAAGTAAAAAGCGTACTCCTTCCTACGCGTTTGTGACTCCAGAGTTGCAAACGTTCATGGGCGGTGATAGTCACTTTCCATCAGGTGACCCGTCTGCTCGGCTGCCTCCTCTAATATAAAAAAAATATATATCTCCATACTCAAATTCACCTAAATCGGTTCAGCGGTTATTGATTTGCCATATAAACTTCCACCCCCTTTTCACCCCTTTTAAAGGATGATTTCTATGATAAATCCTATGTCCTTTCCCCGGACCCGAACTATCTCTATAACAAATTTCATCTAGATCCGTTTAGCGGTTTAAGGGTGAAGAGGTAACAGACAGATAGACAGACATGCTTTCATGATACATTGATAACATTCATCACACACCATCACATCAACAGCCTCTAATAGTCCACTGCTGGACATAGGCCTCTCCTTAGAAAGGAGGTTTTGGCCTACTATACCACGCTGGCCAGACGGGTTGGTATAGGGTTTGTATCAAGTTTTCCTTCTTTTTGCAGTGCTGGTGTCCTGCGTTGTTTTGCGCCCTTAGTCGCCTCTTACGACACCCACGGGATGGATTGGGGTAGTGACATTCCGTATTCTTAATCCGTCACTACGCGGACGGTTGAACATGATAACATTAATATGGACTAATATGAATTGAAGGATGCTAACCATAGAAGAACCAAGTTTCAGCACTAATAATAATAATAATAATAAAAAATTAACTAGCAACACTGAAAACAGTCGACATTTCTTTTACATATTTTCGAAACAAATAGATTTTACAACAATTTACAATATCGTAAAATAAGCTAAACAAATTAAAGAACAATAAAATGGATGCTTTATATAAAAATATCATTAAAAATGTTTAAAATAGATAAACCAAAAATAAATAAAGTATATGCATATAGACATGACGTCTAACGTCATGTCAAAATACATGAAAGTATTTTTCCACCCAAGAAAGACTGTAGAATGATAACAAGAGCTAGGTCGAAAGCACAATTAACATCCCCGGACTCGTCGCTCCGCTCCGTCTTGCCGTCCACGGAAACCACAACAGAAGTTCCGGCCGTGGCTGAGGCGTCGAGCTCGACTTCAAGTGACGAGTTTTTCTCTCCGCCGACGTCGCCAACACCTGTACGTCGGCAGGGGAGAGGCCGGCCACCGATCTGCTTAGGATCCCGAGGACCATTGACCTCGAATAGGGTCCCCGCTACCGGTGGTAATGTGCGCCGCATGAAGTGGACAAATTCTATCAATGAGAATGTCATGCGGGCATATTATCGGGCTACAAAGATGGGAACAAACCTTACTGCGTACCGTGTTCGACTAGTCTCTTTGTTTCAGGAGCTTGAACCTGCTGTCAACGTATCAGCACAACGATTGTCGGATCAAGTACGAGCTATACAGCGCTGTCATCTGCTGGATGATGCAGTACTTGAGAGGATACGCTCTGACATACGGAATAGCTTGATTATCCCTTCTTCGTCACACACTGTGGATTTGGTAGCTAATAGCACACCTCAGTTTGTATCACATACCAATGATGTTGATGAATTAGTGGAGGGTGAAGTTATATCTGTAAGTACCCAATACAATGACAGGATAAGGAGCGCTTTGGAGGATGCGATTCTAGAGTACCGGTATGTGAATTGGAATAATAGACCCCGATTGTCCCGTTTGCCCATTCATAAACGAAATTTAGCGCTTGTGGGTGCCCTGGATTCGTTATTGCCTGATTATTTAGACAATAGCGAAGATCTTGGTGATACACATTCTATTCTGTATTGTGCGGCTGTTGCAGTTTGTCGAGTAGCTGGTGTTAATATAGTTGAAAATGTCACTACTACTCGACCTAAATCCACTGTACCAGCTTGGCAGTGTAGAATTGAACGTCGTATTGCTGAGACCAGGGTGCTTATTGGTAAGCTAATTAGTTTTCGATCAGGGAATACGCGGCCGAGAGTGATGCGCTTTGTGAAACAGGCATTCTTGGGGACTACCATTGGTCCTCAGCAGTACATGTCATGTGTTACAGAGCGCATAGACTTTCTAAAGCAGAAAATTTATGCATGGGCAAATAGGATAAGACGGTACAAAAAATGAATAGATCGGTATAATCAGAATCGGATGTTCCAAAGAAATGAGAAGTGGGTGTACCGGAAATGGGAGGAACCGGATCCATGTGTGAGTCATGGGCATTTGCCAGATGAAAATGTCACACATACTTTTTGGCGGAACATCTGGTCGGTGCCTGTCACTCATATAGAAGGTGATTGGTTGCGGGATGTCAGACGCTCATGTGAGTCTATAACACCTATGGAACCAGTTATAATTGATAAAGATGATGTAAGCTGTGCAGTTCGTTCATTACCGAATTGGAAATCACCTGGTTTAGACGGACTGCACAACTTTTGGCTTAAGTGGTTCCGAAGCTCACATGTGTGTTTGGCATCTCAATTCCAGGCAGCTTTAAATTCGGGTTCATTACCCCAATTTTTAACCACTGGTATAACCCACTTACTCTATAAGTCTGGTAGTGTCATGGATCCCAAAAATTTTAGACCTATTACATGTTTACCAACCATGTACAAACTTCTTACATCTATTCTGAGACTCAAAATTACTTTACACATTAATAATAATTCGATTATGTCAGTTTCTCAGAATGGATGTAGAAGTGGGAGCCGTGGCACTAAAGACCTCCTTATTATAGACAGGGCCATTAGCCAACAGGTGCGTCGTAATCGTAAGAGTTTGGCGACATGTTGGATAGACTATAAGAAGGCTTATGACTCGGTTCCACATACATGGCTTTTGAGGGTGCTGGAGTTGTATAAAATTGATACAACTCTGTGTACTTTCTTGAAGTCATGTATGGGGCAATGGAGAACAGCGCTTCGTTATCCAGGATGTCGGCAGACGACGGTAATTGATGCACCAATAAAGATCGAGCGGGGTATATTTCAAGGTGATAGTCTGAGTCCCTTGTGGTTTTGCCTGGCTTTGAACCCTCTTAGCACTTTATTAGAGGGTTCAGGGCTAGGCTATAGGTTGCAGAAAGACGATCAAGTTATATCTCACCTTCTTTATATGGATGATTTGAAACTACTGGCCCCCACCAAATTACAATTGTCAGCGTTACTGAAGGTGACGGAAAACTTTAGTAATTCTATCAAAATGGAATTTGGTGTAGACAAGTGTGCAGTCATGTATGTAAAGAAGGGTGAGATAGTAGAATCTGAAGGAATAGAGCTTTCCGATTCAACAAAACTCAGATCTCTGTCTGCCACTGAAACTTACAAGTATTTGGGTATATCACAGTCGTTAGGCATACCAGAATCTGACATGAAACAAACGTTGCAGGAACGCTTTTTTGGCCGTTTGAAAAAAGTACTTAAAAGTCTTTTATCGGGGGGCAACAAGGTGCGAGCCTGCAATGGTTGGGTCATGCCGATTCTGATGTACTCCTTTGGTATACTTAAATGGACTCAGACCGAACTAGATGCCCTTGATAGGAGAGTCCGTACATTGCTGACTGCATTTCGAATGCACCACCCACGTTCATCGGTTATGAGATTGTATATCCCGCGAAAGCTAGGGGGTCGCGGATTATTAAATATCAAGACCCTACACAATCGGGAGATATGCAATCTCAGAGAATATTTTCTACATACCGATGTGGGAATGCATCGCAATGTAGTTGCAGTGGATATCGGATTCACCCCGCTCGCTCTGGCTAAAGAGAATTGGCGCAAACCTGTAGTATTTAGTACTAATGATCGTAGGGAAGTATGGAAGGGCAAAGAGCTCCATGGCCGGTTTTATCGGGCCCTAAACGGGTCCGATATAGACTTTAAAGCATCTACGACTTGGCTACGGTATGGTGATCTCTTCGGAGAAACTGAAGGTTTTGTTTGTGCGATTATGGACGAAGTTATCATGACGAATAACTATCGGAAATATATCCTGAAAGATGGTACGGTTGACATCTGTCGGGCATGTCACCGTCCTGGGGAATCAATCAGGCATATCATTTCTGGTTGTTCTCGTCTTGCTAACGGTGAATATTTGCATAGGCACAACCAAGTAGCCAGGATTGTACACCAACAGCTTGCTCTTAAATACCATCTTGTGAATCTAGAGGTGCCATACTACAGGTATGTGCCCGACCCAGTTCTCGAGAATGGTCGGGCCACGTTGTATTGGGATCGATCTATTATCACAGACAGGACTATTGTTGCTAATAAGCCTGATATTGTAGTGATAGATCGATTAGAGCGCCGCGCAATTATTGTTGATATCGCCGTTCCTCATGACGAGAATCTCGTGAAAGTTGAAAAAGAAAAACAAATAAAATATTTGGATTTATCTCACGAGATTGTCGATATGTGGAATGTCGATTCAGTGATAATTGTTCCGATAGTCGTATCTGCTCACGGATTGATAGCCAAGAGCCTCGACCAACACCTTAAGAGGCTCACGTTGGACGGCTGGATCAAGGGTCTGATACAGAAGGCAGTCCTCCTTGACACGGCTCGTATAGTGAGGAGGTTCCTATCTTTGCAGTCCTAACCACTGGTGTCTTGGTACCTGTACCCGATGTCGGTGGTCTACTATTTTTTATATTTTTAAATGTATTTTTATTTCTTTTGTAATATATTTAAAAATGTAATTAATATGTATATATAATTTAATAAAGAGAATAATAATAACTTTACACATCTCACACACGGCCGTCTGATCCCAAACTAGGCAGAGCCTGTACTATGGTAGACAGACTGCTGATAAACATACTTACATATTTTTAAATACTAAATACTATAAATATTTTAGATAAATTACACCCAGACACATAACATATGACCGTGCTCATCACACAATATTTGTCCTGGGTGGGAATCTAACCCACGACTTCCGCCTTAGCAGTCAGGGCCACTAACCACTACACCAACAGACCCGTCTGGACCAAATGTACTTTCATTGCTTTTTCCCTTGATTCTGGCGGTCTCACAGGGCGATAACGGAATCTTATGTTGCAGATTTCCATGGACAGCGAGAGTCACTTAACTTCGGGTGACCAGTATGCTCGTTTGCCTCCATACCATTAGATGATTTTTTCGCCGTCTGCCTACACATTTACTTTAACTTCTCACATGTGAGATGTTAATGACAAAAATATCGTTTTATCTTACATATTTTTTATCTACATTATATCACCGATGACACATTTTAATGCTCCGATAACCGGACGAGCCGTGTATTATTTAACTTTTATCTGTCATCGAGTACAGTTTGTGGCAGTCATTCACAATAGACGCTCCCAAGTGCACGTGTTGTTAGTAACAATAACATTTTTTTAAGTACTTTTTAATATTGTGAATAAAATTTGCGAATTTTAATCTACAGATTTAATCCAAGTAAGTGAGACTTATCGCGTTTGGTTAAATAATATGTTATCACTGTTTGATAATAAAATCATGTTATCTTAAAGACTCACAGTTCAAGGTGATATTATTATTTTGTTTTGATATTAGAATAATTATTTTGTTCGATATTTGTACATAGTGTGTGTAAATAACATGATAAATGCGGTCATCTATTTCTTCTGGAGTCGTAAAACTTGAAACTACGTAGAACTGCAGAGAAGGAAATCTTGACACAAACCCTATACCGATCCTGGCCATACAGTAGGCCAAAACTTCCTTTCTAAGGTGAGGGGCCTATCAAATACAAACAAAAAAAAAAAAAAAAAAAACACAACAATCACATTAGCAACAATCTCTGTCTTGTCAATGTTCCCGCTATATATTGCCGAGAATCTCGCACATTATCTGTGTAAAGAAGATCATTCTACCATGAGAATCTTAACAGCGCGATCAAAGTTTTTGGCACAGAGTCATCTATCGAGCTGTGTGACAACTCGCCATGTATATTCAAAATTATGTCAATTTATTTCTATTATTCTATTTGCAATTTGGACAGTTTCCTTACTAGTCAAATATTTAGCTAACTAAATATATACGTATCGAAAATCTTTTATATGCCTGTGCCGATCTACAACCGCCCATTTCCAAGGGGTTGAGCCCCATGAGAAGAAAGGGCATACAAAATCACGGCCACTCTTTTCAAGCTAACATAATTACACATACACAACATTGTTTTAATGTGTGGCAGTATGTAAGTTTTATGTTCAACAGTGGACTAATAAAGGCTGTTGATGATGAAAGGAAACGTTGCCGCGTTGGTGAGATGTGGGGGCAATGGTAAGGGAAGGAATATTGCTTATATGTATGGAGTGGAGTGATATCTGGAGCAGGTCAAAGTCAACCTGTAATTCAACTTGACCGCTGCCGGGAAGCCTTGTAACCAAAGTTAATAAAAATATACTATCACTAGCTGACCCCGCTTTACCCGTTGTTGCAACATTTTCCATTGGTGCTCGGTAGGTTGGTGGCGTCCTCGATAAACGCACTATCCAATACTAAAAGTTTTTTCAATTCGAACCAGTAGTTTCTGAGATTAGCGATCTCTTTAAGATAATTATATCGATTTAGATTAATTTAGGTATGCATACTTTATAATAATCGTAAACTAATAAAAACTTAAACCTTAGTCACAGAGGTTTAAAGATTAATTAATTTATAATTTGGTATGTTTGTATTATTGTGACATGCATGACAGAACTACATTTTAAAACTTGTTTAAATGTAGATCGCTTGGATATCTTGTTTGTGTGTGTAGTGATGTTGAATGCCTAGTTTTAATTGTCGTGTAACTTGAATAGTCATTGTATACATACCTGGGACTTTCACGGCCTGGTTAATATTGGTATCAAAACCCCACGACTGAACGCTGTCTACCAACATACAGGCAATAGCCTAGTTTGGAAAACAGTTCACAGTACCATTAGATTTATACATATTTAAATGTCTAAACAACAATGTGTCTCCAGTGAAAGAATGTGTGTGTATTTACTTTGTGTTCAATAAACATTTTTATTTATTTATTGTCCCCTATATAGTTTTATATAGTTGTTTTGTACATAATCTTTAACTTAATTATATTATTTTAAATTTTTAGCTTCGTGAATTATTGTACATAGAAACAATAAGTATCACAAATGCATTTTCATACTCATACTAATGTTATATTTAAATTCAAAACTGTATCTGTCTGTTACCTCTTCACGCTTAAACCGCTGAACCGATTTACATGAAATTTGGTATGGAGATAATTTGAATCTTGAGAAAGGACATAGGTTGCAATTTAGCGCGATAACCGACATACACGCAGGCGGAGTGGCGGGCAAAAGCGGCGCAATAATAACCCAATGAACACGACTTAAATTTACGTAAATATGATATCAATGTGACATAAAACACTAATTTTTATATCATTTTGATATCACATTTACGTAAACTGATGTCATGTGTTCACTGGTTAAATTCTATTTGATGTAAATGACCTTCAATATTTTGCACACTAAAGCACACTATTCTCATGGTAATTGGCATGCCGATAGAATAACCCTAACCCCATTCAATTTTTTATGAGTTTTTCTTTAAGCGATTTCAGAGCCAACTCTGAAACTTTTAAATTCATTGACATACAAATTATATTATCAATGAAGGAATTTATGCGAGCAGTCACACACCTCTTAACAACTTAACGTTTTGAGAGGATGCCATTGGCCGTGGACTCATGTAGGGATTCAATAGAATCATAACGACCTGTGATGAAACATTAAAACATACCTGTGACTAATTTACAAAACCACTGTCTAAAAAAATGTCGTAATCTTTATATATAATAAAATTCTCGTCTTATATATAAAATTCTCGTGTCACAATGTTCGTTCCCGTACTCCTCCGAAACGGCTTGACCGATTCTCATGAAATTTTGTGTGCACATCGGGTAGGTCTGAGAATCAGCCAACATCTATTTTTCATACCCCCAAATAGTAAGGGTGACCCATCCCTAATTTTTTTTGTTTTGCAATACAACGTTTGCCGGGTCAGCTAGTATTTAATAAAAAGAAATTTGATTGATTTTAAAAGTATTTATCTTTATCGATGACCAATTTCAATGACATGTGAAATCACTGTGGCTTAAACAACTCACTTCATCATATGAATATGATTTAAAAGTGGCAATAATTTCCATGTCTAGTCACATGTACTGTATACTGTATGTATTAAATCCCAACCCGCCCCCCTTCCCCCCCTCCCCAATTTTTTTGGTTCTATGAAATCCCGTATTTATAATTATATAATACGGGATTTAATCAATCAATTGTTTTCCTGTTTTTGTCTTTCCTCTGCGTTCCTATTTCCTTTTTTTTCCTATCATCATGTGCGTTCGATAACGCAGTACCTTTGCACTTTTATCACTACGGTTTTTCGTTATCAACCAATGTTATACAAGGATTCATTATCTGATAATAATTTTTTTTAAGCAAACAGCACTGATACTGAACGATAATTATTTTATTTCGGCCATCTAACACAACGACATCTAGTTAACACAAGCTAGATTGACTGATAGCAGACTTGTATATATTTTTGTAAATACATATTTAATATACATAGAAAACACCCAAACTCCGAATCAAATATTTGCAGATCATGCAAACATTTGGTCCGACCCGGGAATCGAAACCGAGACCTCAGCACAGCAGTTGCATACGCTACCACTGCACCCCGGCAGCATTCACGATCTGTTACGATGTAGTTACAATATTTATATATGTATGACATGTTTGACCATAACATCATGAAATGGTCGTACGTTCAGATGTTCAAATCGTCCAAAAGTGATATTATTTATTGACTTACATCAACGGCCTTTCTAGCCCACTGCTGGACATAGGCCTCTCCAATAAAAAGAGGCCTACTATACCACGCTGGCCAGACGGGTTGGTATAGGGTTTGTAACAAGTTTTCCTTCTCTTTGCAGTGATGTTGCCCTACGTAGTTATTGATCCTCCTCTATCATAAACAAAGGGGTCCAAGAATGTTTGAGTAGTGAAGTTCCCCCCCCCCCCCCCCCCCGCAAAAAATGACAGACTATTTTGTATCGCGAAAAGACGCTATGGCCACTCCCCTCGTCGCTGTGTCGCGGTAAATAGTAGTCTATAGCTCTCAGGGATTATATATTTTACTTATACAAGATTTTTTTTAAATCGGATCAATAGAACCGGAGATTACTCCGAACATACAAACTAACAAACTTTACCTCTTTATAGTATTACAAAGTAATTTAAATGCAAGAAAATAATACAATACACTAAAACATTAGTTATTTTTCTTATTACTTAGATCGTCAAGCAACTGATCCGAGATGCTGGTGGAAGCTATCATCGGGTTAATCCTAGTGCTGCTGCTGTTGTTCTACTTGAGGGATGTATCAGATCCCCTGGATGTTTTGCCAGGACCGCCCAAGCTGCCAATCATTGGAAACGTTCACCAAATGATGCAACTTCAAAACGGTAAACGGCAAATTCAATGTCAAGCGTTTGAATAATTGGTAGTCTGCTAATAGTTCAAAAGTAGTCGTCATCAAAATACAGTTCAATTACAAAACTAGTTTCGACAATATGTGCTATTATGTTAACTGTTATGTCGACGATATTTTTTTAATAGCTTCTTTTTAAATTACTAGCTAGAACCATGATTATACAAAGCCAAGAAATTCATAAACTGTCAATAGGGTAATAATATAATATACTCGTACAACTGACACACAACGCCATCTAGTTTCAAACTAAGTAGAGACCGGAATTAATCTTTCATATCAATATTGGTTAAGACTATATTTATTGCTTGAACATGTAATAATTTCAGTCCATCCAAAGGTTTCTTGGCAGAAATTGCTCTGAGCCCTTGGTACTCGTTATTTTTAATGTATATTTTACACTTTAATACCTGCAAAACCCCTGGTATTCAAATAAAATATTATCTATCTATGTACCTCTAAGCAAAGGAATTTGCCTGGTATCTTACATGGTCGGCCGACTGCCTAGCTCCGGAACCTGGAGAAAATTGGGGAAAGAAATCAAGGGATGGAGAGCTCTTGGGGCGGTCACAGGCTTCTAGTAACTATTTGATATCAAGAATGATACAAGCCCAAGTTATGGCCACTTTCTCGAACTGCAGGATTAACATTAGTGTTACTTCTATCTGCCTCGAGATATCCTCTAAAAAGGGTCTATCTGTCATATTAATAGTGAATACTTTGTTCGTTTTTACCGAGTGACTGACTAACCATTGCCTTTCGAAAAGTATTCTTCCAAATCGCTGAATTTCGATGGGTATATATCCTATCACACTTTGTAATCGCAAAGGTGATATACTAAAAAAAAAATTACTTTCAGTTATTTAATTTTACTTATGATCTGAGACCTCGCTTCTCACCAATGTTTGATCACAAATATTTAACTGTTGTTGTTTCATAAAATAATTTAATAAATTAAATAAATCCTGTTTCAGATAAACTACTGGATGAAATGATGGGATTTTCAAAGGTTTATGGCGACAGATACTTGTTCAAAGTAATGAAGCACAGAGTTCTGCATATTATACGACCCTCCGATATCGAGGTAACATTTGCATTTTGCATCAATAGGAATTTCACAATTACGCTTGGTACTCACCACCGACTAAGACTGAGAGTAGTTACTATTCACGGTAATGCAAGGCTGAGTTCTCTAATCGGCGCGTACTCAATTCGAGGTACTTATACTCACTATACAACTCATTTTTTTTTCTGTGCGGAAGCCCCTTTGGATACCACCCACCAGTGGTTATGTCGCACTCGAACCGACCAAAAATCGCACTCCGGGCCATCTACGGCTTGTAGATGACTCCCTCGTGTGTGGGAACCACGGTGTTCCCGTTCTGCAATCTAAAGGGTGAACGCGCTCTACAGCGCGTGACAACGCCAACCCTGCCTGCTTCTGCCAGGGTGACAGATGGCCTCACCTGTCACCCTCAGGCCTGCACGAAGGCGTCCGTTACCTGGCCTGTTCCCGGGCCTGTTCTAAATCTTCTAAAGTTCTAAATCTCTCGCGGTCCCGCTCCGTACCATGGCCGCAATCATGGTACCAAGCTAGAGAACTCTCACTCCGATGGCCGCCACGAGGTCACGCCTCTGCTCATCCCACGGGGCTGGGCATTCTGCCAGCGTGTGGAGCGCCGAGTCCACCTCCCGGCCATCGCAGTGGTGACACTCAGGCATTGGCTCTTTGCGGATCAGACACAGGTGATCCCCGCACTCTTCCCCGGTGATCACCTGCGTCAGCCGGTATGAGAGGGTCCCGCGATGCCTCTCGAGCCAATCCTCTATAACGGGTGTTACCGCCGCAATAACAGCGTGACCGGTGCTTCTTCCACTCAAGCGTTTCTTCCACTCCTCCGCAAGGCCCTGGGGGAGTTGGGATTTCCAATCCTCGATTTCTCAAGATACTAGGCAGAGTCTGTACTATAATAGAATTTAGCTGAGTTACCCATATCTAATCATTGGCAATTAATAAACTAAAAGTTACAATCAGTTTTGACGTGACAACGTCTTATAAATTGGTTTGCCGGGTGACACTTCAAGAAACTGCGTTACGCTCCGCTCACGTTATGCGCTCACAATGAGAGCGAGTGAGAGGCACGCGTCCCTTCCACTCGAGCATGGTTAGCCCGCCTAAGAGCGAGAGAGACAGACATAAAAAGTGAAAGGCACGCGTCCCTTTTTTAAATATAATTCTTTGTATAAATAAATGTTTTAAATTGTTACTATTATTTCATCCTTCTTCCTACTATACGAATGAATATTCACATTAAAATTATTTTACCACTCAAAGTCGTTGTCACGTAAAACTTTCGCCCGTATACCGACTTTACAGGCAACCAATTTTTAATTATAATTTTATTTCAGTAACATATCGTCACTTTCTGTTATCTACGGTTCTGTAGATAGATAGAATATATATATATATATATATACTAGCTGACCCGGCAAACGTTGCTTTGCCTAAAAAAAATTTAGGGATGGGTCACCCTTACCATTTAGGGGTATAAAAAATAGATGTTGGCCGATTCTCAGACCTACCCGATGTGCACACAAAATTTCATGAGAATCGGTCAAGCCGTTTCGGAGGAGTACGGGAACGAACATTGTGACACGAGAATTTTATATATAAGTTAGAATATACAATAGAATATAGTTTACAAATAATTGTTTGATTTATTTGCTCATTTGCTCATCAACAATAATTACACATTTTAGATAACAGAACCGTTAAGCTTTTATAAATTATCTCTATTTATGTTGCCAATGAAATGAAACCATACCGGGACCTAAATCGATTTTGACGCCATCTATTGAGCTCGGAAGCAACTTATGTAGTTCCACTGTATTGGCGCAGTTATGTATCACAAGATTGCAAGAGGCAGGTTATATCTTTTGATCGAGGTCGCATTTATGTCCGACCCTATGTTCCTCATAACTAAAGAACAGGTCAATCTATTTCGCTACAAGATATATCGTTAGATTAATCTTTATTTAATTTGCCCGGAAACGAGCTCAGGATTAAAAAGTTATTTAATTTATTTCCTACAATTATTTTCAAGGTTGTGATGTCACATTCGAAGAATATATCGAAGAGTTTAGTATACGAGTTTCTGAAGGACTGGCTTGGCAATGGCTTACTATTGAGCACCGGTAAGTACTGACTTTGATCCATTGACCCATGTTTATGCAGTTACAGTAGATGTTCGATTATCCGGACCTCCGGTATATGGATTCACAGTTATCCGGATTGTCCACTGTGATCATTTCTACTTTAGGCTTGAAGTTTTTGCGTGCACAATAATATAACCACTTGAACTATTTGTTTATAGTCAACATAATTACGCTCTCGTTTGAACAGCTACAAGTGTTAAGTATTCATCAATATAAATTGCAGAAAATTATGCAGAGGCATTGGTGGCCCTGAAATTAGCTTTGATATTGAATACAATCACTGACAAATTTGATTTGCTTTCAATTGAAATGAATACGTGTTAAAGCATCAATATTGTTCTACTTTGTTTTCAATTTAATGTGGAGTCTAAACCTTTTTTTTATTTTGGTTGGATGGCAGGATTTTAGGTCAGCCAGGAGACCAGACAGGCGCCTAATGTTAACCCTCCTAAAGAATATAATACCTATGGTTTTGAGACCGAACAAAAAAATAAAAGTTAATGGGAAATTAATGAAATCAAATAGGGAGCTAGGGTAAGGGATCCGATAACCTCACCTCACTTAGTAAAAAGCAATGAAATGATTGCTTAACACCAGTTTTCTGTGAGGTATTATTTGAGTAGAGTCGGGCCACATGCGTATGCAAACATGGCTCTCACACCATCAATAAGACTAACTAAGCCTTTATTCCACAGGAGCTCATTGGCACAAACGCCGCAAGATCCTAACGCCTGCCTTCCATTTCAATATTCTGAAAAATTTCCTAACAGTCATGGACGAAAAGAACAGGGAACTGGTTAGTCTTTTGAAGGAGAAGAAGGGTGCTGCCGTGGATATAGTGCCTATTATCAGTGATTTTACTCTGTTTACAATTTGCGGTAAGTTGATAAATTAAAATAATACTGAAGTGGTGACTTCCAAGTACGGCAAAACGAAGAAACATACTACTGCGCCATCTATCGAAGACACACCGAACTACGGAGTAACTGCTAATCCTGTATCGCGATATGAGTAATTCGCACGCCAATTAGCATGTATACTACTTTCCAACATCAACCGTCCCACGGCCCGCTAGGCAGGATCACCTCGCCTAGTCGGAGGATCCTCCCTTTGTGTTAGAGGGACATGACATTATTTTATATACCATTATTTACTATACATCTGGAGATCTTAGTGTGATGTTCCTTGGGGCTTTTCCTTGAATTGTGTTAAGCCCAAAGGTAAAAAGGATCTTTCAAACCTGAAGACAGCCCTCATATATAAGCTGGAACAACTGAAATAACATATTGTTCAGCTTTATTAGTAGCAGCATATTTATATAGATTGGGCGATGCACATACTTATGTGTGAAGTGTTTCCTTTATGAAGTGAAGTGAAGTGAATTACATCTTAATAAAGTTAAGTACATTTTTCAGGGCCAAGGTATTTTATGTTATACATATATGACCATTCGCGTACGTGACTAAACTTAATAATTTGTAAACAGTCAATTTATCCAGATCATTTTCAGAGCTAGATGTACTCGTAATACATTAGAAGTCACTGGAGTCCGATGCCTAGAAAACAAACTCGATCCAAAAATGATTAAATTTTTCTTTTTTCCAGAAACGGCAATGGGCACAAAACTGGACAATGATCAGTCAGAAGCTACAGTAGCATATAAAGACGCCATTGTACATATTGGCCTTCTAATCCTGATCAGAGTCACTAAAATATGGATGTGGACTGAATTCGTATTTAAAAACACGGCTACAGGAAAACAGTTCTACAAAATCCTCGACACTGTCCGGTCCTTTGCTGACAATGTAATTAAGGATAGAAAAGCCCAATTTAAACAGAATAAGATTGCAGAAGTTTCAGCTGATACTGATGTAGGTACTAAGAGGAGACTGGCGATGTTGGATTTGCTGCTTGAAGCTGAAGGGAAGGGAGAGATTGACATTGAAGGGATCAGAGATGAAGTTAATACGTTTATGTTTGAGGTAAGCTCTTTCAAACGAGTTTGCAGGCTTTAGGTATACTCCAAAGAGCATGGTGTAATGTTTCATGCGTTTTTCATGCTAGGGGTTGGTGTATATTGACAGGCAGAATCTTTTAGCACTGTCTTTACTGATCCATTTGAATAGTACCTATATCCTGCTATTTGTTTTGTCTATACGTATTTGTTAAACGTAACATCAGTAAAAGTAGAATAACAGTATGTGGTATTGACACTAAATTGATAATAAATTTATTTTAGGGCCATGACACTACAGCAATTGCAATCACCTTTGGTTTGATGTTACTGGCGGACCATGAAGACGTTCAGGTGCATAAACAATTTATTTTATTATTAATTCACCAGTCACAAATTTGTCGACCGCAAATAATATCGAAGAATGGGCAGAAATATGATGATGAATCTTCCATAACCTAGAGACAAAACTTTGGGGATTTTAAGGGTCCAAACTCAGTTTTAGACAATAACACTTAGACTTGATTAGCCAATACTCTTTACGTTCATTTACACTCATTCAAAAACCAACTCACTTAAAGACCTTCGTATCTTTCAGGACCGTATCTATTGGGAACTTCAGTCTGTTCTAAACAACACCGACCGCTCTCCTACGATGTCTGACTTGGCTGATATGAAATACATGGAGGCTGTAATCAAGGAGATCCTCAGACTTTATCCCAGTGTTCCGTTCATTGGCCGTCAGATTGACGAAGATTTCGTGTTGGGTAATTATTTTTGTCTTCTGTGTTTATAATCTTTATACCTACTCAACAGATTATGTGCATTTACGCTGGAATGGAAAGAGTAGGCATATCATAGGTTAGCTTTCATCCACGTTATCAACTTCATAAATATCCTTACGAAACAATAATAAATTATCATTAATAGATTAATGGAATATTATTATTATTAATAGTAATATTCTAACACATTCACACAACGCCATTTAATGACAAACTAAGTAGAGCTTGCACTATGAAAGCAAGATTGACTGATAGAATACTTAAATATTTTTTGTAAATAATATATATACATACACATATTATACATAGAAAATACTCAAACGCCGAAACAAATATTTGCAGTCATACAAATATTAGGTCCGACCCCGGACACGAACCCGAGACCTCAGCACAGCTGTCGCATACTTCCATACTTATATTATGTGTAGTGTAATGTGAAAGTGACTTTGTTCGTTTGTTTTGTTAAGCTTGCACGCCTAAACCACTACAACGATTTAATTTTTTTTTATTAATGGAAAGCTACATTATCAGCGAGTAACACGTGCTTCTTTTGAGCCCCAGGCAAAAGCTAGTGAATTATATTATAAAAATATCCAAACTAATAGTATAAATGCAAAAGTGTGTCTTACTGTCTGCCTGTTACCTCTTCACGCTTAAACCGCTAAACCGATTTATATGAAATTTGGTATAGAGATAGTCCGAGTCCCGGGTGAAGACATAGGGTAATTTTTATCCCATAAATCATCCTTTAAGGGGGGTGGAGGGTTGGATGGGCCATCAATAACTGCTAAACCGATTTAGATGAAATTTGGTATGGACATAATTAGATTCTTGAGAATAGACAGGCTACTTTTTACCGCGATAACCGGTAGTATTTAATATATATTATAATACCTAGTATATAATATAAACAAGTGCGTGGCTGCCCTTTGAGTGCCAGATCTGATTATAATTAACGTTCGCAGATGGCCTACTAGTCAAAGCAGGTACGACAATCGACATGCACATCTACGAGCTTCATCACCGTGAAGACCTGTTCCCTGATGCTGAAGCATTCAAACCTGAGCGGTTTCTCCCTGGCAGTGAACTGAAGCATCCGTTCTCCTACGTACCATTCAGCGCTGGACCTAGAAACTGCATTGGTATGTACTCACTCAAGTAACCAAGGGGATTTTTAGAAGCAACAATCAGATTAAGTGACATTTTTACCATGACAACAGAATATTAACTTTCCCTCCATTAAAATAGAGCTGAAAGCTCGTTTAGATGTAGTATTGTGTGTGTTTAGGTGTAGTATTTAATTGTTTAAACGCAGCTGTGAGCTTGTGGTTAATCTGGTGATCAACTTACAAGGCTGAAACATTATAATTTTATTAATACAGTATAAACTCAGTATAATGAAATTGAAGGGGATTAGACAATATTCGTTTTATACCAAAAAATTGGATACAATGAGGTTTTATATCGAGGTTAAGCTCGGATTCATTAGGAATGATCCATAAATTACGTCTTATTAGAGAAAGAAGGTAAACGAACTGTGACATTATGTGACAAGGATCAGGGCGGCCTAAGCCACGTCGTCATATATATCAAAATCTATTTATTGTGGAACATAATAGCTGTATATGAAAAACTTTAAAATATTCAATTAACTTTGGAAGTCGTGTTTTCATTTACTCATTTCTTGGTTTAAATTACAAAATATGTGCCAGAGAGAAGGGTCATAAATATGAACGCTATTTTCTTTTATTTCGTGGAAATAATAATAATAATATAATAATATATTGCGTTCGCGTTGTGTGTATGTGGTAGAACCACATACACACAACGCCATCTAGTCCCAAACTAAGCAGAGCTTGTACTATGGGTACTAGACAACTGATATAAATACATATATACTTTTTTTTTGTAAATACATACATATTATACATAGAAACACCCAGACCAAATCAAACATCAAATGTTCATGCACACAAATGTTTGACTTGAGCGGGAATCGAACCCGAGACCTTTGGAATAGCAGTCCGTTACACAAACCACTACGCCATCCAGTCGTCAATCAAATCAAATCTTCATGGTTTCTAAACCTACTCCTGGGTCGCAATTTCCAGGCGCTGTCGAATTCGCATGTGTCGCCCTCATCTTTCAGGCGATTGACCCGGCACCCGCACGGTGAAGCCATGGAACACTAAGAGATAGGTCTCACCAGGGCTAATTGGTGAGGCATGGCATGGCATGTCAGGCTGAGACGAATAAAACCAAACGGTGTGCCTTACCACACTGTAAATGAGAGTATCGTTGTTGCCGTTGCTGGGTGTTGTGGGTCCGATCCCATCATGAGACGACACTTTGTGTGATCATCAAATTGTTGTTCTGAGTATCTTTGTTTTTAGACATCTCCCGCACTAGGCTTATATCCTGTGTCGCGGGGGACTTTACAAACATATATGAAACGGACACAAAGAACACCCAGACTCAGAACGACAATTTGTGGATCACGCAAAATGTCGTCCGATGTGATGTGTCCAAAATGTGGGGACCGAACCCACAACACTCGGCGTAGAAGAAAGCGGCGTGGCGACCGCTTAAACCACTACGTGTCCGTTTTATGATCGTAAAGCCTTCCGCGAGACAGGATGTATTCCTAATGCGGGAGCTGTCTTTCATAAAAAAATACATAAGTTACACGTGCGTTGCCACCTTATGAGTCCCCCTCCCCGAAGCATGGGGGGAGGTTTGATTTCCAGTAACCTCACTCACTTGATGAAAAGTAATGAAAGAAATACTTAACAACGCTCTTTTGTAAGGCCGTCCACAAATGTGACCACTTGTGATGATCTGTCAAGGACGAGGAGAGCACAAAAAAAACTGTAGCACTCCGGCAGTGTGAAAAGTTGTTTTTTTTTGTTATAACAGGTTTTTTTTGTTTTTTTCGATTCGAAAAGTTGCGACATGAATATATATCTATGTTGTACGTATACAAAATATATCTTTAAATTATATATCATATCATATATTAAATTATATGTTATCAATGTAATTCAACCCAAACTCAACTTTCGTGTCGGTAACATTGTCGCGAGTTTAATGGTTTTTTCCATCTCAAAAAATACATTCCTTTGTTTCTATGTATAATATGTATGTATTTACAAAAAAAAGTATATATGTATTTATATCAGTTGTCTAGTACCCATAGTACAAGCTCTGCTTAGTTTGGAACTAGATGGCGTTGTGTGAATGTGGTAGAATATTATTATTATTATATTTATTATTTGTTTGCTGTTCAAAACTTCATTTTTTTCTGTGCGGATTATCCCTCGGAAACCACCCACCGGTGGCTATGTCGGACTCGAACCGACTAAAAACCGCACGCCGTAACGCACCTAAAGAAGTTTTGACTTCAAAAATCATAAATTTCGTGTATCGTAATTTATGGAGGACTCTTTATAGGAGTAGGAATCGCTACAACAGTTATAACGTAATATTATAATTTACGAATTGAGGTTCTCTATCATACAATATCATGATCTTAATATGGGTGAACCCATAGTAACATTTCATTGTATACCATAGCAACAGTCACAAGCAATAAGTTTAAATGACATTACTTGAAACAACGGAGAGGACATAGCATGTATTAAATGTGTACCACGTGAGAAAAAAGTTATTCTGGATTCATTATCGTAGATGAAGATACCTCATGTGGAGGTAAAAGGTTGAAGGAAAATCTAAATATACATAATAATAACCCCACACATCTCACACACGGCTGTCTGATCCCAAACTAGGCAGAGCCTGTACTATGGTAACCAGACTGCTGATAAACATACTTATATATTTCTAAATACAAACATATTCTAGATAAATTACACCCGGACACAGTACAAACGATCGTACTCATAACACAAATATTTGTTCTGGGTGGGAATTGAACTCACGACCTCCGGTTTAGCAGTCAGGGTTACTAACCACTAGACCAACAGGCCCGTCTATACATACATACATAAATAATTATAGTTTAGTTAATTAATCATACTTTAATGACATCACATTTCTCTCTCATTTACACATCCGTGTGATGACGGATTAAGAATACGGAGTGTCACCACCCCTATTCATCCTATGGGTGTCGTAAGAACCGAGTAATGGAGCAAACTTTGCAGGACAACAACACTGAAAAGAGAAAGAAAACTTGACACAAACCCGTCAGGCAAGCGTGGTATATAGTAGGCCAAAACCTCCTTTCTCAGGGGAGGCCTATGTCCAGCAGTGGACTATAAAGGCTCTTGATATATAATGTGTACTTTATTGAGTGTATCAGCTTTTTATCGTCTCAGTAAATAAACCACGTTAATCTTGTTTTCAGGTCAACGCTTCGCCATGCAGGAGTTAAAGAGTGCATTCTGCGAGATTATCCGCAACTTCAGACTGGAGCCGAAGGTTAAGGGTGCCAGGCCAAGGGTCATAGCCGATCTGGTGATGAGACCCGTCGAACCCATACTCATTAAATTTATACCACGTAAATAAAATTTTATTTACTGTATTAATCGTGTATTTTTTAGTGATTTTACCGTATTACCATAAGTCAGAGAAATTTACTTTGAAAAATTGATATTTTTTGACGTCCATATACATAGATGTCAACTTAAAGTATTTTCAGTGCAATTACAAATGCACACAATGGAATATGAAGTTACTAGTGTTTTCTTTTTTATGTTATAAAGGCACAAATGAACAGACGGGTCTGTACTGATGGTAAGTAACTACCCTGGCCATGGACAACTGCGACTCTTGAGTCACAAAAAGTGCGTTCCCGTCCTTTGAGTCCCTTCCCCTAGAGTTAGGGTGAAAAGAGGTTTGGGCCGGGTAATAATAATAATAACTTCAAGAATCTCACACACGGCAGTCTGATTCCAAACTAGACAGAGCCTGTGCTATGGTAACCAGACTGCTGATAAACATACTTAAATAGTTCTAAATATATACAGAAGAACCCACGACCTCCTGCTTAAGAGTCGGGATCACTAACCACTTAACCAGCAAGCCTGTCGAGGCCACACTCATTATCATCATCATCAACAGCCTATACTAGGCCACTGCTGGACATAGGCTTCTCCTTAGAAAGGAGGTTTTGGCCTACTATACCACGCTGGCCAGACGGGTTGGTATAGGGTTTGTTTCAAGTTTTCCTTCTCTTTGCAGTGCTGTTGTCCTGCTTAGTTTGCTTCCTTAGTCGGCTCTTACGACACCCACGGGATGAATTGGGGTGGTGACAATTTGTATTCTTAATCCGTCACCACACGGACTGAGGCCACACTCGGTAGAAAGCAACAAAATAATAGCTTACCACCGGTTTTCTGTGAAGCCATGGTGTCACTCCTGTCTAGCCGGGCCATAAATGCTGAAGTATAACCGTCCCACGTGTGAATATATGATTAAAATTAGAGTCAGCTCAAGGTCAACTGGCAACCCAATAGAAGCGTCGATATGCGAGTCTCACTGACACCCACAAATCTCTGGTCAATAGTGTATTGTCTATGGCCTTAAACAAAGTAACGCCTTGGAGTAAAAAATAGTGAAAGAAGAGATACACAAAGAGAAAACAATGGATGTAATGTAGCAATTCGCTAAAAAATATGCCGAAAAGTAATTAAATTAAATAAGAACGTAAATTAAATCGAACAGAGAGTAAAACGTGCTTTTTAATTGAGTGATGATAGTCATATAATAAAAAAAACTCAATTCTTTTCAAACCTTCTAGAATTTAAAATTTCGGGCTGTCATTACCAACTATCCCTTATGGTGAGGACAAATGGTTTTTTTCCCATTCTTCCCTACCACGCCGTCACTAGTCATCATCATCATCAACAGCCTATACTAGTCCACTGCTGGACATAGGCCTCTCCTTAGAAAGGAGGTTTTGGACTACTACGCCGTCACTAGTGATGAGTGTAATTTCATTCCTACTTATCCCTACTAAGCCTATTTTGTTAATAAGTACAGTCGAGAATAAAATCATGCTAATGAAAAACATAATTATTTAAGAAAAAATATATTTATTATAATTTGTGAATAATATTATCTCAACTAAACAATAATTTCGTCGTCGAGATCGTGGGTTCGATTCCCACCCAGGACAAGCATTGATGTGATGAGCACGGTCATTTGTTTTGTGTCTGGGTGTAATTTATCTAAAATTTTCATAGTATTTAGTATTTAGAAATAATATATATATATATATATATATATATATATATATATATATATATATATATATATATATATAAGATTGTTTATCAGCAGTCTGGTTGCCATTGAACACGTGTTACACGGCCGTCTGATCCCAAAGTTTGGGATCAGACGGCCCTGTGTGAGATATATTATTATTATTATATTTTAAAATGAAAGAAAAAAAATTTAGAGTAACTTTTTCGAGAATAATCCAACAACAATGTCAATGTTTATAAAGCAAAACAATACCACTACCTCTTTCTGTATATTTATTAAGTCATAATGAAAAGCGAATAAGTGGCAGAATGATCCTAAACTCGTTTATAATTACTAGAATATGATTTACACATTACTTTGTAATGACAATGACAGTAACATATTCCCTTATATTAGGTCTTCACCTATGAAATTGCCGTTTTGTATGCAATAAGTGAAAGTACTTATTTTTTCAAACTTTTTTCTTTCTGTTATTCGAAGTAATCACCCATGCAATCGACGCATCTTTGCCAACGCATTGGCAGTTTATTGATGCCCTTCTTGTAAAAAATCAGCTGGACGGGAGGCAACAAACTCTTCAAGGGCATTTTGTACTGCCTCTCGGGAATTGAATTTTTTACCCACTAAAAAGTTGTCTAAATTTTGGAAAAAGTTATAGTCGGTAGGTGCAAGGTCTGGTAAGTATTCATAGGTAAAGACCTATTATTTCATAATGACTCAGTCATAAAGAGGTCATGGGTTATCTTTATCCCCATCCAGCTACAATTACATTATATCTAAAAGGCATGAATATGAATTCTTTGAAAATATATTATTATTTAACGGTACAACAATGCGTCAAGATTTTATTAGTAAGGATAAGTGGAAATGAAATTCCACTCATCTCAACCAGGGACGGCGTAATAGGGAAGAGTGGGAAAAAATTCCACTTGTCCCCGAGAGACCCGAACAGCCCGTGCTACCTACATTCCAGACAAATCATACCCAGGCACAACAAATTATCTAGATCTTCATATTCTATTAAATGTAAATACAGCAAAAGATATCGTATTAGCTTACTGTTTTCAATGTCATGATAAATCCAGTAGCTAATCATTAGTAGAATGCACCGGATCTCCGCAGATTTTTACTATATATAGAGTTACACTAAAGAATAACAATCCTGACACAATCCGCAATTTTTAATTTACCTGTCGGCTAAACTACAGAGGCTGTATAATTAAGCCCTAACGAAACGAAAAGTTTCTCTTTGAAGTGGTTATCTCGAGTATAAATTGAAACGATGTTATTGAGAGGTACAATTGTATTTTCAATTTTTATTTATCTGTCTATGACGTGCCATACACTCGCGCACCCGCCGCATGCAAAAAGTACTAGTGTTCTTTATTGACTTTAAAACAAATGAATATTTTTTAAATGATCTATAAAATCACTTTTTGAAAAAATTCGACGGTTTGTAAAAAGTTTACAACATTTTGACCTGAAAATTTTACTGTAGTTACAGGACTACAACACTGACAATATCCAAATTTCAAATCTTTACCACTTTCCAAACGCGAGTTTTAAATTTGATAAATTTTGCAAAAAAAATCGTGTTTTTGTTGACAAATATCGGGCGATCTGATGATCCGATTTTGCTTTTCGGGGGTTCATCCTCTTTGTTTGTTTATTGCGCACATTTGTTACATTCGACTTATTTTCGTAGGAGCTTTAGTTTTTAAGGAAAAAAAGATTTTTACCATTTTTCACATTTTTTTTGGTACCTTAGCTGACAATATTTTGTTATAATTTTTATTGCAATCAATTCCTGATAGTTAAATCTTTAATAAAATATTTTTTTCGCTAAAATAGGAATTTGCCGTTTTTTCAGGAATTTTTCGCTAATTCTACCTGTCTATTGTTTTGTTTTGTTTTTAAAAACATCCTGCAGACTGCACGGATGGCATAGTGGTTTAAGCGCCGCTTACTACTACGCTGAGTGTTGTGGGTTCAATCCCGATATGGAACGACACTTTGTGTGATCCACAAATTGTTGTTCTAAGTCTGGGTGTTCTTTGTGTCCGTTTCATGTATTTTGTAAAGTCCTCCGCGACACAGGATATATTCCTAATGCGGGAGTTGTCTTTAGAAATAAATAAATATATATAATGTAACGAACAAATTTAGACTTTGTATTTGTTTGTGTTGCAAAGGTCATAGTTTGCAAACGAGCAAGCAGGTCCATCAATGGTAAGTAACTACCACTGGCACCGGACACGTACAACTGAAGGCTCAAGAGCGTCACAGGAGATCAAGCTAATCTGCAGTATATAAGTTATCTCTTTAACATAACAGATTATGAAGTACGAAAACTTCATTAATTGCATTAATGTCGATGTCGCTCAATGTTAATAATAATAATACAACAAAACACATCCCACACACGGCCGTGTGATCACAAATAATAATACAACAAAAACACATCCCACACACGGCCGTGTGATCACAAACTAAGCAGAGCCTGTACTATGTAACCAGATTGCTGATACTTATATATTTCGACGTATATATTATAGATAAATTACACCCAGGCACAGAACAAATGATCATATTCATCACACTATTATTTGTCTTGGGTTTCAAAAAGAAAAAAAACCATATAAGTCTTAAATTTGCATTTAGTATGTCCGCGACTAATAGACGAATAACTCAATATCACGCAAACCGATTTCGATATATTATATATAATATTCTTTTTTTATTGGAATGGATGTACTTTAAGGGTACTTTGATGAGAGTTTGCTTAGATTCTGATCATGGGATCCACGACAAAGTGACGGAACTTCAATTCTTAGGAGCAAATTAACGATACACGGCTGAATCTTTTATAGGCTATCCGGATATGTGAGTCACCTACAGTAACGTCGTTATGGTCAAGTAATTATCGTCATCCTTTAATAAGCTACTGCTGGACCTAGGCCTCTCCTTAAAAAAGAGGTTTTGCCCTACTATACCACGCTGGCCAGACGCGTTGGTATAGGGTTTATTTCAAGTTTTCCTTCTCTTTGCAGTGCTGTTGTCCTGCGTAGTTTGCTCCCTCAATCGACTCTATTCTTAATCCGTCACCACAGGGTCAGTAACGGAAGTAATTGTCGTAGTCGAATATAATTATCTCTCTTTTGAAATTGTTCTCGAGGTAGATTGCCTCTGTTAAGATAGGCGTTTCTCCCTGACTCTCTTTGTTTCATTCAAACGGCACTGTCTCATTTGAGCAGCACGTTTATTAGGTCTACCCATATTTAGACAAATTAGTAAGTGTT